CTTCTCACCTAAAAACATAATCCTCACCCAGCCTCCTTGTCAAAGACCCTTTGTGCACTGGCCCCATTTTTAACCTACAGGGTATGCATGGAATTACCCTTCCTCCCAATAGCCACCTCACAATCTCCATTCCCTTTTGGGGAATCTTGCTTATTACAGAAGTCTTCCAAGATGAATCAAAAAAGGGAGCTGTACCTTTCCTCCCCCATTCAGTTTGGATTTGGAAATCACAAGAGCTATTCTCATTACCCCGTCCCATCCATCCCTTACAAGTCTCATTTTTCTTTTTTCTTTTTTTTTTTTTTCTATATTTGTTTTTTGTTTTGTTTGTTTTTCGAGACAGGGTTTCTCTGTGTAGCACTGGCTGTCCTGGAACTCACTCTGTAGACCAGGCTGGCCTCGCACCTGCCTCTGCCTCCTGAGTGCTGGGATTGCAGGTGTGCACCGCCACCGCCAGGCTCGTCCCATTTTCATAATTATTTATTGTATTTATTTATATTTATTTATTCTGGGCTTCATTTGAAGACCCCTGCCATCCATTCCCATCATCAGGCAATGCTACTGTGTGTGCTGCTGATAGTAGATTCGTTTCTATTCCTGCACTGTTTACAATTTTAAACTTCGTTCTGTCTAGGATCCCTCAACATCATCTCCTCTTTCAGCTACTGCCAAGTGCACATTTCCATAACACTGTGATGATCAGTCTTTTCCCGGGGCTCTTGCAGCAATCAGATAAACAAACATATGCACATACCTATATCTATATTCACACACATGTGTATGCTAACATGCACATGTGCATGCACGTGTTCACACACACACACACACACACACACACGTTACACACACACACACACACACACACACACACACACACACACACACACGTTTCCCTCCTCCCTAACACTAACTGACCCAGAGCCTTTGACTTTAGCGCAAGTTTCTATATGAAGCAAAACTTTAATGCCACCAAAAGAAAAAGAAAAAAAGGAATCTTCTGGGCTTGGGGGCACAGTTTTTAGGAAATAGTATAACCCACAGATGCAGAACTAAGAAGTAAGTTATTGGACACCCTGCCCCTCAACTATGAACCACAGAGATACCTTATGAGGCAATCCAAAAATGCAGATCATTTTATAATAGCTGTTTTCAAGCATGATAGAGAGCCAATTATTCCTCCAAGCAGTCACTAGGGCAGAGTGCTACTTGGAAACCTCAATTTTCTTCCCAGGCGATCAAAACACACAGGGGAAAGTGGGGAGGGGAGTCCATCCTGGAAATGTCAGAGGTTGCTCTGGCCAATGTCTCATGGAAATCTATTCAGGCTCCCGAGCATCGAACAGGCTGTCTTCTCTGTGTGCAGACCAGAGATAAGTACCACTCTTCTACCTGCTGCCCCAGCCCTCACCTCAGGTTATTTTCATTATTCTTCACTGTGGATGCTCTTTCTTTAAAACTGTAAAGTGAAAATGCTCACCTGTGTTTGCAAAAGCAGAGCCTCCAACAGGAAGAGCTTGCACTGGGAGGGGAGGGTCCCAAGAGGGGGCAGACCTCACTTCCAAATGCAGGTGCCTGGGGATGGGGGTCTGAGCCTCACACTCAGGAAGAACACAGGGCCCAAGGAGCTTGTTTACATTCTTCTGAGCCAGCGAGGGTTAGGGACTTTCCTAATTGCCTGGGACTCTGCTTCTCATAGGCCCTGACTTCCCTCCAGGTCCTTTGTTGGAGCCTCTTATGGCTTCACCCCTGGAAATGAGACTGTTGGGAAGCTAAGTTGGCCTCTGTGAGCCTGACTTTCTCCTGTGGAGATTTCTTTTGCAGCCTTGGAGGCCTCCTCAGCAGCACCTAGGCCCGGCCTTCCCACATGAATGTCTCCTGAACCACCTTCACTGTGGGGGCCATCACCAGGGCCACCTGTACTACTGTCATTTGTGAGCTGTTTTTTTTTTTTTCTTAAAACTACTTGTCAAACTTGTCATTGTATATTAAAAAGAAACCAGAAGCAGCACCACTTACCGCAAGTGGAAAATCCACTCAGAAATGAACTCACAGCAAACAAAATTATGCCACAGTACCTTAGCTAGTCACGTATGTATCCCTAGCTAAAGATACCAAGTTCAAGGCCAGCTCCTTCTTCCTTACATAAGGAGACTGCCAAGTCCTGAAGAAGACAGTCCAAGACTCTCTGGCATGAGTAGAAGGGCTGAAGGAAAAAATTTTAAAGGGAAACACTTTCTAAGCCCGATCTTATTCATTGCCATTGTATAGGTCACCAAATGTCACTTCTGGTATGTATGGTAGACAATCTCTCCTACTCTCCTAAAAGGTTGACAGAACATCCAATATACACTCTATGAGAGAGAGAGAGAGAGAGAGAGTAAATGCTTAAAAACACCATGGAGTGGGGGGGGCTGTACACCCACAGCTTAAAAAAAAAACAACAACAACAAACAACAACACTTAAAACCTCCATTAGAAGAGTGTCTAGGAGAGCCCTCTTTCAGTTTAGCACCCTAAATAAGGAAAACCCCAGATTCAAAGTTCTGAAAATCAGTCCCCACACCACACCCCAAGAAGAAGACTCAGCATTCACCACACAGCTTCTCTGGTTAGGATCCTGATAGGAAATGACATGTGGTTATTAGTTTTGAAGTATCTGGCATCTTTGTATGCAGTATTAGCCGCCCTTCCAAAACCTCAGGGCTTCCCAGATGCACAAGTCCCCACCCAGACACACCCTTCCTACTGGCCTAGGGGTAGCCCCCAACACCAAAAGACAGCTGACATTTAAGACTCGACTGAAACCACACGGACCCTGTCTCTGAAATGTCAAGGCAGAAAGCAGCCAGGCCCAGCAGGCTTCTTCAGAACTGGTGAAAAAAAAAAAAACCACTTCTCTGCAGCCTTGCTTCAAATCAGTCAATAGAGACCACAGGGGGCAGAGTGAGGTAGAGGCTGACCTTTGAGTGAAGGGCAACTGAGATGATTCACAGTCAGGACTCTATCACATACATTCTGAGTCTGCAGGCTTCCTCCCCACATATCAGATGCTATGGTCCAAGCACCTGAGGATGGCCGGACTGAACTCCATCCAGGTTTCCACTGGATCTTGGTCTGTCCAGGTTTAGAGTGAGTGTTTCCTGCTAAGTATGTGTGTGTGTGTGTGTGTGTGTGTGTGTGTGTGTGTGTGTGTGTGTGTGTACAAGTGTGCACACACATGCACATGTATGTATGCACTGATGTTAAGCTGACTGACATCTGTCATTCTTTAAAAGTGGACATATAAGAGTTTGACATTTCCTGCTGGGCCGTGGTGGTGCACACCTTTAATCCCAGCGCTCAGGAGGTGGAGCCAGGCAGATCTCTGTGAGTTCGAGATCAGCCTGGTCTACAGAGCAAGATCCAGGACAGGCACCAAAACTACACAGAGAAACCCTGTCTCAGAGAAAAAAAAAAGGGGGGAGGGTTTGGGGATTTAGCTCAGTGGTAGAGCGCTTGCCTGGCAAGCGCAAGGCCCTGGGTTCGGTCCTCAGCTCCAGAAAGAAAGAAAGAAAGAAAAGAAAGAGAGAGAGAGAGAAAGAAAGAAAGAAAGAAAGAAAGAAAGAGTTTGACATTTCCTGACGCTTGAGTAGAAAAACAAAATGATTTCTGCGTTTTTAACAAAATTCTCTTCAAACAGCTTTTTAATTGTGTCCTACTTAGACATAAAACAATATAAAACAAACTGCAAACAGGATCATATGGATTTTTACATTCTTTTCCCATTCAAATGGATGCTTTGCACGTCAGAATAATAAATAAGAAGCAGCATAAATTTAACAAACACTATTACTCTCTTTTTTGTGCTAGTCAGTAAGGGCTTTGTAAATAACTATTTAGTCCCTACATTAACACTATATGGGTATGTCCTAAAGGTTAGGTCCTGGTTTTGGAGAAGAGGAAACTGAAACAGAGATACAGCCACTTGCTCATGGTAACACATTCAGTAAATGGCTGGGCCGGGCCCTGAACCTGGGTAGCCTGCCTCAATGACCCATGATCTTGACTACCACGCTATGTTGCCTGCTTATAGCTAGCCTGAGTTCTCCACCGCTATTATTTCATGCGAACCACAAAACGAGGTAAAATGAGGTGCTCGTTTCACAAGCGAGGAAACAACTGAGGCAGACAGAAAGAAAGCAGCTTGCCAAGCCCACCCTAGCAAACGAGCGAGAAGTAGAGACTGACTTCATGGGAGTGTCACCTGGTTGGTTACTCCCTGTCACCCAGCAGCTCCCAGACACCTTTGGTTAGAGTTAGGGAAGCCGCTTAGGTCTATGGCTTACAAACTGTCCTTTGCAGAGACCTGGGACCTTGAATTTCGTAGCCTCACAACAATGTGTATACAGAAGGGAAGTTAGACTGTCAAATCCAATCCTGCCTTCAATGGAACAGACTAGGAGCCTTAGTGACAAGAAATAATCTGTCTAAGGACACATATACCTAACCCAACTAAATCCCACATGTAGGACAGGAGGGACTTAGGGCAGTGGTGGGACTCAGGGTCCCCTGGATGAAAACTATGTCTTCAGTAACAGTAAGCGGATTCTGCCTTTTCCCCTCTGTGTCCCAGAGCTGGACAGTGCAGCTGTCCTGAGACTATGTGACATGCAATACATGACCCACAGAAAATGAAAGCAGACAAGAGAAAGAACTGCCTTCTAGAAAGCAGGCCAGGCAGATGTTTGCACGTGCACAAAACCAATAACACTCTTCTCACTTCTGGTTTATTCTGGAAACTCTTTTTTTCCTCACAGAAATGCTGTGTATTCTTCTGTAAGTTAACTGAGACACGTTATAAAGCTGCTGAGGCACAGTTCCTTGTATGGTAACGACAGACAGATAGAACCCAAACGAGCAATGATTTTTAGCATTAAAGGAACATCCAAATGTGCAGCACTGACATCCCTGTGGGCATGTCAACTGCAAGTCTGATGGGTGCTGGGACCCACGGAGTTTACCTGGAAATAGTCTGTAATGAAGGATCCAAGTTCGCTCTTCAGCAGTCGCCTGGGGAGAGAGAAACATAGAAACACAATCAGGCAGCTGTTGGTGTGATCACAGCTCCTGAAGACCAGTTCCAAAGGAGGGTGACAAAAGGCTCATCATTGATGACAATGTGTTTACCAGTAGCACAGGGATGGAATCTAGGCCTGAGGAGGAAGTACTTTTTCCTAGGTCCTGGTAGGGCCCCCACCCCACCCCCATTATTACCGCAGTGATAACATTTACAAACATTTTATAGTCTAAAACACACTTTCTATACATTCCCCATTCAAAGATTCAAAGTGTATACAGGATGGTATAATTGTCACAACTACTGTAGATAGAGAAAGCATGCCCACCCCGATCCTACACATTAACCCAAGAGCCAAGGTTCAAACCTAGACCTTCTGCAAACTAAACATCTTTTCCTATAACTCCACCTCTCCTCTCCTCTAACTCCTAAAATGTCCAGACTTGAAATTCACCTTGAGGATATGATGGGGTGGTCTCACCATTCATCATAAATGTAATGAGGCAATCTACAAAAGGGACCACAGTGAGAATTGGGTTTCCGGTTACCTAGGCAACACATTTACTGAGCTGCCCTGTAGGTTCCCACGCATTGTTTCAGCACCAGGACCACCAAGGTATCTACACGAGGTCTCCGCTCTCATAGTTTCTACTCTTAGGCCGAAGATGTGGATAGATAGTATGTTAGTAAATATATTCACAAGGTGATGTCAAAGCATCTTAAGTACTAAAAATACAAATAAGTAGAGATTTGGACAGCAGCCTTTTTCTCCCTGTGACAAATAATGGGCCCATCCCTACTGATCCATCCTGAATTTGATCCAGACAAGGTGAGAAAAAGCCAAAAACAAGAAAAACTGGCTCCTGGAATCCAGTAACTTCTCTAGGGAACAAAGTCTCCCTGACTTCAACGTTCTCATTGACTTCCCACCTGCTATGGTTATTAAGGAGCAAATACTCGAATTTCTGACAGTCGTGTTGGGTATTAACTTTCCTCCAAACATGCTCACTCATGTCTCTGAAGAACAGACAACTGGTTACAGCAATATATCATTCATTATGTGCATAAAACGGGAACAAGAATTTGGGGACAGAACAAGAGAGAAACACTCACGTTTTAAATTTCCAGAAAAGCTTGGAAAGCTGAAACACATGGAAAATACCACCTTTTCCCATAGCAGGAAACATGTTAGGTAGATGAAGCATTTTGAGATTCAACATAATAGCAGGTAACCTAAGAGCCACTCCAGCAATACACCCCAGGGGTTCCCCAAGATGTGGACAAGTCTAAAGAGAGATGAAACCTATCAAAAGCTATTGGGCTGGGGCTCTTGTCGAGGATCCAGGTTCTGTTCCCAGCACCCACATGGAGACTCAGGAGTCTGTGTTCTGTACCCCTTTCTTATAGATGCTGCAGGAGAGGCTCAGAGGAGGGGACTCTTTGTCTAAGAAAACAGTAAGGGGTGGAACAAAGAGCCTGCCTAGGTCACCTGGCCACAGAAGAGAGTCTCCCAGATTATACCATAAATATATAACTGTAACTCCAGTTCCAGAGGCTCCTATGCCCTGTTCTGATCTCATGGGTACTAGGCACACATGTGGTGTACATATACACATACAGTCAAACATTCATATACATAAAATAACAATGAAGGGGTTGGGGATTTAGCATAGCAAGTGAAAGGCCCTGGGTTCAGTCCTCAGCTCCGGGGGGGGGTGGGGGGGGGTGGGGGTGGGGGAGGGGGGAATCAATGAATAAATCTTCTTTTTAAAAGTCATTGGGCCGGGGTGGTGGTGCATGCCTTTAATCCCAGCACTCAGGAGGCAGAGGCAGGTGGATTTCTGTGAGTTCCAGGCCAGCCTGGGCTACAGAGTGAGTTCCAGGACAGGCTCCAAAGCTATACAGAGAAACCCTGTCTCGGAAAAAAAAAAAAAGCCATTGGGCTGAGAGCACACCTTGGGAAAGAAAACAGAACAGAATGGCTAGCACCACAACTGAGGAATTCGTTTCAAGCAGAATGACGCAAGGGGTCTGTTTCCAACCAAGAAGCAAAAAACGCTCCCTGACAGTCTTTATGGCCATTGGCAAGTCTCAAGACCATGGGTGAAGAAGATGAGCTTCTGGAAGAGCCAAGTGCTATCAGCTAGCCCAAGTTTCAGACAATCAGATGACACCTTGATCTCAGGCTTGGGAGTCCTTCCCCCATGAAAATTTGACTGGCTTGAACTTGCATGAGTCTTGTGCAGGCAACCACAGCTGCTGTGAATTCTTGAGGCACCTTGATTTCTAGACACATGAAACATTTTCAAAATAACACAGAAAAAAACACAAGGCTGTGGTGTCTTCTTCTTCCTCAGGGAAGAGATCAGAGAACACTGAAGCTGTGACAGGAAATTAAGTAGGACCAGACAACACTTTAAGCAAGTGTAGTCCCTGAAGTTAGAGGGGCTCAGGGCCCTACAGACGTACCACCTTATTACCCTAGTCTGACCTAGTCTGTGGTCCTTGAATAAGGTGCCCCATGGCACCAGAGCACTTATGTGTATATTCCTACACACGCAGAAAGATACTCTAGAAGACTACTCAATGAGATACTGTAGCATCTGCCTTTGAAAAGGAGCTTTTGAGGTAGAGTAAAAATTCTCAACCTTGAACCTTTTTATAAGGCGCACCTGTGTGCGTGTGTGTGTGTGTGTGTGTGTGTGTGTGTGTGTGTGTGTGTGTGTGTGTGTGTGGTGTTCATGTGCATGGGGCAACCAGAGATCAACCTTGGGTGTTACTTGTTTTTTGAGACAAGGTCTTTCTCTCTCACTGGGACCCTTGGCTCAATGACAGCACTAGGTTAGCTGACCAGCGGCCTCAGGGATCCTCCAGGCTCTGCCTTCCCAGTACTGTGATTACAATTGCACACCATCATGCCTACCTATGGGCATATGGACCAAACTCAGTTCCATCAGCTTCAATGGCAACACCTTACCACTGAAATCATCTCTCCAGCCCCAACTACGACATTTTTGAACTATATGAAGACGATCTTGTTCAAAACAACTTTTTAAAAAGAGTCTAAAATTAATGGTAACCTCCACCAAGCTTACGGAGGATGGTCTGAAACCCAAGAAAGGATTGTGGGAGTAAGTTCCAAGTAAGGGAACAGTATCAGGAAGCAGACAGATATAGAGGTGACAGAATCCTGGAAGTCCTATGAACCTGCCCTCCCAGCTCTGCATGGGCTGGTAACTTGAGAATCACTGATCCACTGGGACACAGAGGGCCAGGACCAGGGGCCAGGAGCAGAGCTAGCTGGTCAACCTGTGGATAGACCACAGCCAATCAGCTTACACCGCTGCCTCTGCACCGTCCCTCTGCTTGTCCTTGTTTAACAAGGAGAGGACACCTCTAAAAAAATGTCTCTACTCATGTGCCAGCCAAACTGAGAGTCAGAAGTTTTTTTCACACTCCCACCTCATTCTATAACCATCCTGGCCATAAACGCATTTGAAAGAGACACTTGCACATACACATACATATCCCATATCCCATCAGACTATTGAAACAGTAGTCCCCAAGAAATCGGAAGTTCCCCAGGAATGCCATGTTCAAATAAGGAAAGTGCTGAACCCTGATGCCAGCCAAAGGGTCACTTGTCTCCCAGAAAGAGAGTGCAAGTAGCTTGTCAACTTGTGAGACCACCGTATAGGACAATCTGGGGCTGAGACAGTGATAGGTCAGTGATGGACAGGACCACACCTTCACCAAGACTGCTTAATGATGCATACCTCAGGCCTTCTATTTCAGCCTAAATAAATCTTATGCCAGGACCTCGAAGATGGACTTGGGGAGTCACTAGATCTCTTTGCTCCCTCTTCCTCTTCTTCTTTTTGGTTTTTTTTTTTTTTTTTGGTTTTTTTTTGGGTGTGTTTTAGTTGTTGTTAGGGTTTGTTTGTTTGTTTGTTTGTTTGCTTTTTTGAGACAAGGTTTCTCTGTATAACAGCCCTAGCTGTCCTAGAACTTGGTTTGTAGACCAGGCTAAGCTGGCCTCGAACTCAAAGATCCTCCTGCTTCTGCCTCCCGAGTGCTGGGACTAAAGTCATGTGCCACCATACTTGGCTTTTCTTTGCTCCCTTTTCAACATGACTATTATTGAATTAATCTCCTTTTTCTGCTTTTCACCATCACTTGCTTTTTAAATTAGCTGTTGATGACAGGTCTAGCTTGTTCGGGCAGCCAGAGCCCCTAACTCAGGTAACACTGCCATCTCCAGTGGAATCTAGTGGACATGGCCCCTCGTACGGGCACATTCTGCACACCCTCCCCACTAAGACAGAGAAGAGCAGCTGGCAGAGAGAACAGGAAGCCTGCTAATTAAGTCTTTGGTCCATAATAATTTACCAGAAACCTGTTAGGTGTTAGATATGATGCTGATCAAAAGAAGGAAAGGAAAAAGAACTCAAACAAGGGTTTTCTCCTCCCTGGCCACTCCCTCATTCAAAAGCTGAGATTTCTTCTAAAAGTGGTCTGGGGGCCCAAGTTGGAACCCTAGAACCCAAGTTAAAAAAACAAAAACAAAAACAAGTGGCGTGCACTTGTACTCCCAGAACTGAGGAAGTGGGGACAGGCAGCCTCCCCCCACCCCACCCCCGCCGGGGCTCACTGGCCAGACAGCTAGAACTGGTGAGGCTGGCCAGTGAGACTCAGAAAACAAAATGGATGGCTTCTAAGAGATGACACCCGAGGTTGTCCTCTGGTGCTCACATAGGTGTGTGCCTGCACACCGCATATATAAACACAGACACACACACAGGCACACATACACACAGACACATGTAAACACACACAGACACACAGAGACATAGAGACATACACACACCACACACAGAGACAGACACACACACACAGGCACACATACACACAGACACATGTAAACACACACAGACACACAGAGACATAGAGACATACACACACCACACACAGAGACAGACACACACACAGGCAC